CCCGAGTGGTTGCACTGCTGCCAGCATTACGTCTGAGTATGACTCAGTAGGCTATATAACACTTTTAATTGTCAGGAAATTACTTGTCTTTAAAAGTTTTGGTTCAATATACTTACCTGTTGATCAAAAATAGCCTTAAACCTATACACTTTTTTTTTGTTTGTTTAATTTAGTAACTTTCAGGAGAGTGTACTCATTTTACACACAAACAACACAATCTGTTATCATTAGGGCACAACTAATAATTATAATGATAACAGATTGTGTGTGTGTGTGTGTGTGTGTGTGTGTGTGTGTGTGTGTGTGTGTGTGTGTGTGTGTGTGTGTATGTGTGTGTGTGTGTATGCGCACACACAACACAATTTGTCATCATTATAATTATTAGTTGCAGCCCTAATTATGACATTTCTGTTCTTATGTTTATTTCAGTGGCTGTCTGATCGAAAGAAGAGCGTTTTACAGCAGAAAGATGTTGGTGAGCTCCTTCGGTGGTTCATAATTCTTTAACTTTTTGTGTTAAATACTGCTGTAAATAATCTTTTTTTATAATATGTCTAAAATCAGGGTTGAGTTTGAGTAACAATTGTAACACTTTTAATTTAGCGAAATGTGCAGAATTTTGTTTTGTTGTAATATTGATGAAATATTAATGATATGCATTAGGAAATAATTTTTCCTTTTATGTGCAATATGAAACTTTTGTTTTCTCCAGTGACAGTACAACCTTTTTTATTACAAGTCACATTTCTATGGCCATATATAATATAGACATTTTTTTATGAATTATAATTTGAAGTATTAGTTATACCTCTGTCTGGTTTTTTTTTCATGGTAAAAAATTGGCACAGCTTTCCACCCTCTCTCTTATACTCTCTCCTGAAAAGCATTGACCAAGGCATCTGATAATTTCTTCAATCAAATCTTTAACAGATATCCAGAGGAGGATTGAGCTGATTCAGGATTTTGAGATGCCCACAGTCTGCACCTCCATCCGAGTGTCACGCGATGGCCAGTTCATTTTAGCTGCAGGTCAGTATCTTTACTGGGCGGTCACATATGCTGAATATACAGTTTTAGACTTTGGGAACAGATAAATGATGCTGAACATTGCAATAATTTTAAAATGTTTTTTATGCTTTCAGGTACATACAAACCTAGTACCTAGTATACAACCGGTGCTATGATACTTACCAGTTGTCTCTGAAATTTGAGAGGTGCCTGGAGTCTGATGGTAAGTGTTATAATCGTTGTATAATGCAAGTGAATATGATAGCATCGGCCAGTCAGCATCCATGGTACCATCTATTTTATAAATGGTTTGGGTGCTGTTGATGGTCTCTGTAATAAAATCCCAGTGCACTGGTTAATATTTAATCAGAGTCTCCACACACAAACTACCTGAGCTCTCATTAATGTACCGCTGATTACAAATAACACAGCAGATGATGACTAAAGCTGCTGGTTGATGATATAATTGAGGACGCTTTGTCACTCACCACATCGGTTTTATTCCCCTCACAGTGGTGACGTTTGACATCCTATCTGAGGACTCTAAGGTAAAACCCGCACGGCCTTTATATGCTTCTTTGTGTCTTTTTCTGTTTGTCTGCTGTTTTTGTTGTACGCTTGTATTATTTGATCAAATTTAAGATAGTTATTCTTAAATATCTTAAAGGGGTCATGAACTGAGAAAAAAAATTCCCTTGATCTTTTGACATATAAGAGGTTGTTGTACTATAAAAACATCCTGTAAGTTGCAGAACTCAAAACTTTCCCGTTAGTCTAAAAATAGCTTATATTGAAGCCAGTCTGCCAAAACAACAGGTTGTGGAATGTGCCACTTTATGACGTAGTAGTGTGGCCAAAGACCGTCTCCACAGAAGAAGATCAACGCCTGCTTCGACATCACTAGTCTCAGCCTCAGACGTCACGCCCACGGAACGTTGGCTAAACGTCTGATGCATATGGCTCACAAAAGTGGAAACACTTCAGGAGTTTCGAAGTCTGCATCGGATTGGTTGAATTATACAGGATTTCTGGGAGACGTGTGTGTCGCGTTCTTTAAGGTTCCGCCTGGAAACAAAGATGCCGTGGCGCCAAACCCCCTCACGAAAGAAGAAAGCCGCCGTGTTTACAACTGTGACGACGAGCGCTTATCAGGATCAACTAAATGCTAGATTCTCAAAAGTATGTGAAATATTTAGTTCACGGCATAGAATCTTTCAAATACGTCCAAGAGTTTTACACACCGGTCTGTTAGTAAGGTTCCGCCTGGAAACAAAGATGCCGTGGCGCCAAACCCCCTCACGAAAGAAGAAAGCCGCCGTGTTTACAACTGTGACGACGAGCGCTTATCAGGATCAACTAAATGCTAGATTCTCAAAAGTATGTGAAATATTTAGTTCACGGCATAGAATCTTTCAAATACGTCCAAGAGTTTTACACACCGGTCTGTTATTGTGGGGACATTTCCACGGCCCTAAACATGATGAAGCACAAAACAAAACGTGATTGGTTGCTTAACCGGTCAGTCATATGGCGTCTTGGGCAATCCTTGGCCATTCAAAGCTGCCAAGGTTCCCAGTCCTTCTGCTGTTATTTTGAAGGTCTGGCTACGCAAGACTATGTTCGACTTAATAAGTGGCACTGCACAGACCGATCAGCCTCTAACTTGAAGCAGTGTATGTTGGATATAATTTTTTTCTGACTTGAGATGGTGCAAAAGCCACATCACTATGACTTATGCCATAAAAGTACCATGAGAATGATTCGAGAGCAGTCAGCTGGCTCATTCTGTGCAGTTTCTCACAGCTGTTACGCATCTGGCCGGATTCACAGATGACAGCAGTGACACAGTGTTTTCTGTTTATTTATTGTGTTAAATCAAGCCACAGTCAGAGTCAAACACTCAAACACTTTTGTTTTTGTTTCATGTCTGTATGTTTGTTTTTGTGTTTAAGCACATAGCTGTCTTTGTTTTTCCCCTTGCCACGCCCCCTTTAGTCCGTGTCTAGTCCTTGTTTTGGTAATTGTGCTCACCTGTTCCTTGTGTGCCTTCCTTTCTATTTATTGCACTCTGTTTACTTGTTCTTGCCAGATTGCTTTGTTTCACAGACCTTGTGTCACATGTTGTTATTAATCTTCCCTTTGGCCTCTGCCTCTGGAGATTCCATTTGCCCTTCCTCATTCAATGAAACCGCGATATGTTTCTTGAGTCCCACACAGAAGCGGAGGCTGAGGAGTAAGAATCGCTCCATGGCCGAGACCCCTGCTGTTCCCCAGAGGCAGCCATTCCCACATCATTGCCACACCCTCACAAGCAGAGGAGGAGGCCTCATAATATCAGGTGGTGTCTGAGGCCTCGTGTCCAGTGGCCCCAGAGCCTCTTTCTCTGTATGGAGCACAACTTATGTTAAATGTGCATGTTCTGTCAGTTTAGTAGCATATATACACTACAGTAACTAAGGAGACCTAAACTTCATTATCCAACATTGGGGCTTGTCACATTCACATGTCACGTTCATACTGCAAGTGTTAGTGCTCAATTCTGATTTATTGCTCAGATCGGATTTTTTTTTGTGTATGTTTTTGATAACACTTATTGATAACTTGATAAGCTAGCACCTCTGGAAGGTTATGGAAGCTAATGTTAACACGTGGGTAGAACAGCACATTTTAGCCTTACATGCTGCAAGGAGAGCATTTACAGAGGCTGAATGTTCTGAAAAATTCAAAGAGCACTCTGCAAATAATTATGGCCAAGCAATGAAAAATATAAGACATGGGACAAAGTGTACTACAAGCATGCACTCTGTGCACAATGGAAAGGTCCAGGTGTCGTCATCGGCCAGGATGGAGCAGTGATTTTTGTGAGGCATGGAGGTATTTATGTTTGTGTGCATCATTTCAGACTCTGAAAGACAGATGATAATCACACTGTACATCAAGAAACAGGCACAAAAGCACAAAACACAAAGGATAATACTATCTCACAGTCAACAAATTTAATGAAATGGACTAAGACTCTGAAACTGATATGGAAAAATCAGCAGTGACTAGAAGAATTGAGAATACATGTTCTGAGGTTGAAAGCAGGTCAAACAATTACCTATACATTCATTCTTCACCAGAAGCAAAGTGCAAAGCAAGCCTGTGGAAGTTGAACAAATGTGTGTATGGCCTGTTGAATGCCTATCTGTATTGGTACAACAAAGTTCAGCTGGGAGGCCATGTGTCACCGATTGAACCTGCAGTGTTCTACTGGCAAGATGACAGTGGGGAGTTAACTGGAATTTTTGCATTATGATTTTTTTGTGATGAGGTTATGAAGATTTTTTCCTCTTTAGTCATCACGCATTTGAAAATTGCTTTCCAAGTTGGAACGTGAAGAACAGTTTCAGTTATGTAGGAATGGAGATCTCTTCAGAATGTGGTGAGATACATGTACATGCACATGCTGAGGTCTAAGATTGGCCAAATTTTGAGTTGCAAGACAGATAAGAACAGACGTAATGTGTGAAACATCTATCCTTGCTTCTACCATCAAACATGCTACTATCCAGTCATTGCATGATGCAAACAAGCTTACCAGGAAACTAACGTCAAAAGAAATAGCTCAGAAATTTCTGAATTTGGGAAGAGACAGTTCGCTGAATCTGGTTGTTTTTAATGATGTCTCAATGGGAAATCTTCAAGATGGTGGAACTCAAGGTTGCCATCTAATCTTGTTGATGGTAGAAGATGGAAAATTCTCACCTAATGTTGTTTTATTATATTTTATTAGGGGTCATATGATGTTGCTAAAAAGAACATTATTTTGTGTATTTGGTGTAATGAAATGTGTTTATGCGGTTTAAGGTTAAAAAAACACATTATTTTCCACATACTGTACATTATTGTTTCTCCTCTATGCCCCGCCTTTCTGAAACGCGTCGATTTTTACAAAGCTCATCGGTCTGAAAAGCAAGGTGTGCTGTGATTGGCCAGCTATCCAGTGCGTT